GGAAATGAAAATATTAAACGAACTTTCAGTGATCCGTGATGACGTTGGTAAAGCATGTTTGAAAGAACTACACCCTACTAACTCTGCTCTAATTATGGCACTCTGTGGAAGTAAAGGTAGTTTTATCAACATCTCTCAAATGATCGGTACGTTCAAATAATAATCATAAATATATTACTACTCTTAATTGTGTTTTGATACTATTTAATACAACTTCTCTCTTCAGCTTGCGTAGGTCAGCAAGCTATCAACGGATGTAGAGTACCGGATGGATTTGAGAATCGTGCGTTACCTCATGTTTTGACACGATCAAAGAAACCAGATGCTAAAGGCTTTGTGGAAAATTCATTTTATTCTGGATTAACGTCCAAGGAATTCTACTTTCATGCGATGGGCGGTCGAGAGGGTCTCACAGATACCGCTGTAAAAACTGCGGAGACTGGATACATGCAGAGACGATTGATTAAAAGTTTAGAAGATTTGTGTATCCATTATGACATGACAGTACGCAATTCTATGTGCGATATGATACAGACTACATATGGCGGTGATGGATTGGATCCTACGTACATGGAGGGTATGTGACATATTATTGTCCATTTTGTGTAAATAGAATAATACATATTTTTCTACAGGTAAAGACTGTCCCGTGGATTATGAAAGAGTGTATGACCACGTGAGGGCGAAAATGCCTTATATTACTGAAGAACCTTTAGATTACGCTAGTGTAATTAATGCTACAAAGGAAATGCTACGCTCTGAAGAGTATGAGTGCCTGAGTGAGGAATTCAAAAATGAATTGACGTAAGACAATATATGATATATGGTGAACTTCTGTAGCGCAATTTTAAACAAATTAAATGTTGTTTTTGCAGTTCGTTCCTGAAATTGAAGGCGCGAAAAATAGCATTTTATCAGCAGAACGTTATATCGAATTCATCAGTGACTTCGCAACTTGAACGTTTTACCGTTTCACAATTAGTAGAGTTTATTCATACGTGCAAAGAAAAGTACATGAGAGCTAAGATAGAACCGGGTACCGCTGTAGGTGCGCTCGCCGCTCAAAGTATTGGTGAGCCAGGGACTCAGATGACACTCAAAACATTCCATTTTGCTGGTGTAGCTGCTATGAACATTACTCAAGGAGTTCCCCGTATTAAAGAAATTATTAATGCGAGTCCCAAGATCAGTACTCCTATTATAACAGCGACATTGGTGAATAATTACTCTGAGCACATGCGTATTCAATCCGTATTCAATATGGTTTTAACCAACTAATTCTTTATTTTGCAGATCAATGATACGAATTCCGAGTTTGCCGAGCAAGCGAAAGCAAGAATTGAGAAGACGACCCTGGGAGATATAGCTGAATATATCGAGGAAATATATTTGCCTGATGATCATTTCCTTATAATAAAATTAGATATCGATAGAATTAAAACGTTGAAATTAGAAGTTGATGTTAATTTCGTATGTTATAAGTATGTTTGAAAGCTTAAAATTCTTGTTTTTTTATTGCAACTATTAATTCGTTTATATGTAAGAACAAACTTCACTTGATTTTTTTTCATTTAATGTCAAAACTTGATATAGTACACAATGAAAAAAAACATGAGTTTTAGTTATATTTTAAATTTAAGAGTAATTGCTGCCATTGTGAACTTTTCGAAAGATAACAAATAATTTATGATTTTCTAGACTCTGCACTTCAAAATTGAAATTAACTTCAAAGAATGTAGAAAAGGTGACCGACTCAGTTATTATTATTCGACCAAATCGAAGTAAAGATAAAGACTCAAATTTTCCATTTCGTCAATTGACAGAGGCTATTCCAAATGTTATAATAAAGGTAAAAATGTGTAATGAGATAAATTTCTATAAAATGTAAATTTTTATAAGTTTTAGAAATTTAATGTCCGCTTTTATTTATTTATTTTTTTTTTTTGTAGGGTTTACCATCGATCAATAGAGTAGTTGTACATAATGAAAACCTCGGTAGTAAATCGAAATTTACATTATTTGTCGAAGGAGATAATTTTAGAGAAGTTATGGCAACACGTGGCATCCTCGGTGAGAAGACAAAGTCAAATAATACAATAGAAGTGAGTTGAAAAAATCATGAGATAGTGAATAAATCATATTTATAATCATATTTTATTTTAGGTTTTCAAAACGCTCGGGATAGAAGCAGCGAGAACGACTATCATGTCAGAAATTAAGTCGGTAATGGAAAATCACGGTATCAGTATTGATTATAGACATTTAATGCTCTTGGCAGATTTAATGACTAGTAGAGGAGAAGTACTTGGTATCACGAGACAAGGTTTGGCAAAAATGAAAGAATCGGTTTTAAATTTGGCATCGGTGAGATTTTCCATTTTTCATTGTTTCATTCTTTTATTGCTTTTTTTTATAATACAATATAGAATTATTAAATTGATAAATTTTAATTATGGAAATAAACTCTCGAAATTAAAATAATGTAAGAAATTAGGCAAATGAGAGTTTGATGCGGTACTTAATGCACAATTATTAATTTTATGTATAAATTATATTTTTGACATTTGCAATACGAGTGTACAGTAAGTTAAAAATATAATTT